TCTAGAGAACAAGATCTCTCTCTCTCTCTCTCTCTCTCTCTCTCTCTCTCTCTCTCTCTCTCTCTCTCTCTCTCTCTCTCTCTCTCTCTCTCTCTCTCTCCCCTCCCTAGGATGCAGAATTGTTGAGATTCTTTCGTACTTGTGTGATGCCATTGTTATGTCTATGTGCGGCCATTGTGCTGATGTGTGTAGGGTGTACCATGTGCAGAACTGGCAATATTTGTTCCGATTAATCTCAACTGTGTGGGGTGCAATGCATTTGGGCGTGTACAGGAACTCTGTATCCACTCTAGGGACGCATTGATGTCGCACCTCCTGTTTTTTTTTTGTTTCATTTGGCCAGTAAGTGAAGTACTGACCCTATTTCTGACCTGCAGGTTGTGTAACAACTGGTATGCCTACATACCCACCAATCATCTAATCTACATTGCAATTATTATCAATTGATTAACCAATGGAAGACCTTTTCACCTTTATACACGCTATGCACTTAGATTCGAAGGAGTGCATCCTTGAATGCAATTTAAACTGGTCGTGAACCATCCGTATACTTGGGAGCTACCTTCTTCCCCCGAATACAACGTACGGCCATTATAGCTGTATTTGAGGCATCTTTCAGTCTGGATACAGCTATAATGATCGTATGTTGTATTCGGGGGAAGAAGGTAGTTACCCATGCAGGGCCCCACTAGAATGCATGCTGTGCAATCGCTACAACTCCCCTGCTAGAATGCACCTGGACGTCCGACAAGTCAGGTGCGTGCAGGCATGTGCCTGCATGTTGTGTATGGGTGGATACTGGTGCGATGGGCTCTGTGATGAACTTGCAGGAAAATTTTCCCTTCAAGTAGAAACTTGAAAAACTGTCTGCCAACCTCATCTACCGATACAGGATGACTTATGATGGCATGCGTGCTTCGGAGCTTCCCTTCCACCTAATATATGTGTGGGATTCTACGTCTGCCCTGTGGGATTCCATCGGTCCGTCTGACCACCTATTAACCTGTCTCCCCCTAACCGATGACGGCAAATACTGAGGGTTGTCTGTGAGATAGTTGGGGATGTCCTGAGTGTTGAAGCCAGAGTTTGAAAAAGATGGACGGGGCGGGGGGGTTGCCAGGCAAAATGTCAAAGAAAAAATGAGAGGCGAGGGGGGAGGCAAAACACAAAAAAAAGAAGAAGAAAGAATTTCTCTGCTGTTTTGGGTACACACACAAAAAAAAAAGAAAGAATTTCTCTGCTGTTTTGGGCACTCTCCTTTTGGTGAACATTTAGCGGGGGGTTTGCCACTTTGTTTCCTAATTGGGGTGGCCACATTTGTGCGGTGCCTACCTCGTTAGCTGTGTGGCTTCCTACCTGAATAGTTCATATGACTGACAAATGGTTGTGTTTTCTTTGTGCTTGAAAATTGCAGGCTGTGGAGATCATCTCATGCTTGGCGCGATTCAAGCCAAAGACGCTAGTTCGTCACAAGTTGGTTTTGCCGATTCTCTCTGTCATGTGCCCAGTGATCACAGAACCGGAAGGCAGAGATGAGGAGGATGAAATCTCTGCGCACAGGTTTGCTGCACAGGTCGATGTCTGCTTTGGCATCATTTTTCCCTTTTTTTTTTTTTTGGGGTGTGTGTGTACTTGTGTATGTGTGAACCCAGCCACTTGGACAAACTTACGGCATGACGGCTCATGAATTCATGCAAGCCTGGACCTCCAAGTTTTTCTGTGTTCTTCTTTTTTCCCAAAAAGGTCTGGACGGCACTGTTTTAACCCGTTTCCAGGCATTCTTTGTCGTATTTGTTTTGCTGGTTTCTTCTCTGCTTGCAAGACCTCTCTCTCTCTCTCTCTCTGTGTCTCTCCATGTCTTTCCTCTCTCGCCCCCCCATTCCCTGTGGCCCAAGAAAAAAAAAAAACACAGCCCATCCGTTGCTCTCTCTCTCTCTCTCTCTCTCTCTCTCTCTCTCTCTCTCTCTGTGTGTGTGTGTGTGTGTGTGTGTGTGTGTGTGTGTGTCCGTCTATGGCCCTGCGTCCCAAGAAAAAACAACAACACAGCCCATCCGTTGCTGTGTCTTCCTTCACAGTGGAAGTTAACTCAGTGTTTGTGTCTTGTCTTTCTCTTTCTGTCGTGGAATGCACAGCTTGTGGACACTCTTGCAGTGAATTTACCGAAGAAGCATGTGTACCCGCCATTGTTGGAGTTTGTAAAGATGAATGCCCACAGTCAAGCGGCAAATAACAGGGAGGCAGCATCAATGGTTTTGGGCATCATTGCTGAAGGATGCAATGAGGTGATGAGGCAGGGATTAGACGAGTTGATGCCGCTTGCGCTTGGTGGCTTAAGGGATCCTGAGCCACTTGTCCGCGGAGCAGCGAGCTTTGCTATTGGTCAATTCGCAGAGCATCTTCAGCCCGAAATCTTGGAGCGTTACGCAGAATTCCTCCCTGCTGTGTTTACTGTGTTGGGAGACGCGGAGCCTGGTGTCCGCGAAAAGGTGTACTATGCACTGGACGCTTTTCTTGAGCAACTCGGTGAGGAGCTCCTTCCCTACCTGGAGCCGCTGATGAACCGGCTTATGGAAGCGTTGAGAGTGGAGAAGAGGGTGTTCCAAGGTCTCTGCTTGGTAAGTGCGCGTAATCACAATTATGATATTTCTGCCCGCTCAAGCTAGGAGGCCATGTGGATGAATGGTACACACGTGTAACGATTGGCAAACAGATCACGAGCTCAAGTCCTGATGGAATGAGATCGATACAAGATTGGAATCCGTTGCGCCATTTTTTCCTATAGCCGAAAAGTTCAGCTATTTTCTTACTTGTTGTGGTTCTTTCTTCTGATATCACCAAGGCACCTGGACATTGGTAATTCATGGCAAGGCAATCTGTACCTGCACTGCTTTCTCCCAAACCTCTTGGTCGTTCTCTCTTTCTCTCTGAGACTCTTTGGGTTAGGCAAGCAGAGGCGGAGGGTTCTGCACGTGTACGCTGGTGTCTTGGGGTTTTGTACGAGAAGCGGTTAACAGAGCCCTAAGTTTTCAGGGTAGGGTTTTTTCAGGGTCATGATAACAGACGCCGTACACGTTTTAAGCCAGACTTGTCAGCAGTCCATAGAGTGGACGCAAAATGAAGCAACGGCAAAAAAAAAAACAAGTGAAAAATGGATCAAAGGGGCCTTAAGCCCCCAAGACAAAAGAGTGTTTTCATGCGAAATTCGGTCTTTTGAATCTTTTCAGTTTTCAGGATTTTTCAGGATTTTCGGGGCTGGCCAAAACAGTCATCTCCGAGATCCCAACAAACACCAAACTCGGCACAGGCAGACCTTGACCCAAAAAAAAAAATAAAAAAAATTAAAGAAATGAAAAAAAAACTTTAAAAAAGTTAAAAAACAACAACCCAAATGCACTTTCCAGTGCTGGGGAGGTTAACCTGGGGCTGAAAAATGGGGATCCCTGTTAACTTGTATTAACCGCTTGTGTTTTGTACGTGTTCATCTCAGGGCACTGCGAAATCTGCAAAAGTCGATGGTTAATTTTGTTTTTTTTACGTTTTTTCAGTTTTTATTCTGTGTGATTTCTGGCTGACGGGTGGAGAATGATTGCCGGTGTGTACTCAAAAGACGGGAAGAGGAACTGAAAAGCTTTAGAGTACCTGCTTGCGACTTGTGATGAGGCCAGTTGGTACACCCATGCGCTGTTGAAATACAGACTGAAGTTCGAATCCAGATGCACTCAGATTCCAAATTACCTGAAACTTGTGATGAGGAATCTGTGTGTGTCCTTCGGGACATCCGTTAAAATTGGAACGATGCAGAGAAGATTAGCATGGCCCCTGCACACTCAAGGATGACACGCATAAATCGAGAAGTGGTCCAATTTTTTTTTAAAAAGAGAGAAAAAAAAGGGAAAGGAATCTGTGTGTGTGAGTGGTCTGTGGTTGCTGCGCTTGATCAACAAGATGAGAAGAGGAACGAAAAAGGAAATTTTTTGTGGAATTCCGAATTCCTTTTCTTTAAAAAAAAAGGTTTAAAACTGATTTGTGTAATCCATGGCTGTGCTTAACAGAGAATGTTTGTTGGCTGAGCTCTCTCTCCAGAAAGATTTATCTTGTGTATTCGCAAGATGGAAAAAGGATCTGAAGAAGATTGCTTGTGCATTGGCAATGCTTTCTGCATGTTTTTTTTTGAGGAGAAGGCTATGGTGTTGTCTGTGCATGTGGCATAAAAAGATGAGATCCTGATGTGTTTTTTTTTCTTTTCTTTTCTGGCTGATGGTTACAGTCAGCGATGGGGTCTCTCGCCGCCGCTGCCGGATCTGCCTTCGTGCCGTACGTTGAGACTGTTCTGAGTGTATTGAAGGAGTTCATGATGCTCGAGCAACCTGACGATCTCCATGTGCGGTCAAGGGCGACGGAGCTGGTAGGAATCATTGGAGTTGCAGTTGGAAGATCTGTGATTGAACCCGTATTGCCGGGCTTCATGGAGTTGGCGTTGAAGGTGAGTCCTGTAGTTTGATTATGAAAAGGAATTGAAAAAACATTTCATAGGTTACCAAAAGAATCTAGTAAAGATGAGCCTGGATAGTATAGCAGGACAAGTACTTTCCGTTGTATAGGGATGGTGGCACTTCATGTGACTTTGTACCTCCTTATATTGCTCCGTCTCTATGTGAATGTCCATAGCATAATCTTTGCGGCGACGGATCAGGTCCCCCGTGTGGTGAGGTGGTCACAGACTTTCCCAAGCTGGATCTGGGCCCATGTGGTCCCATTGGGCCCGATGAGAATGCCCATGCCCATTCTGGATCTATGGCTTCAATTTCAATTTCAATTTCTACTGTTGGATTGTGTTGTGCCCCTAGGATTGCGTGAGGGTCAACATCTGGGTCAGTGTAGTGTACCCTAGGCTTGTTTTGGTTCTTTGTCATGCTGTGAGGGGTAGGGTTGCGTGCTAACGGCAAAAAATGGCGGGTGTCGATCGCATCATCAGATGATGATAAAGCAAACAGGTCGGCGGAAGAGCATGGTGGAAAAGAATACTCTTTTGTTGTATGACAGATACTTAAGTTGATGTTCGGATGTGCTTGTGCAGGGTTTTGCTTTGGATGCTGAAGTGCTGAGGGAGTATGGGCATGGCTTCTTTGGGAATGTGGCAGAGATCCTAGAGGCTGACTTTGCTCAGGTACTTTTGTCTCTGGATAGACTTATCGTCCACCGTCTCTCACAAAACCGGCACTTGAGAAAACCGGCAGCTAGTTCTCCATGGCACTTGTGTGAAAGCTGATTATGCATTGCTTCTCAAGAGAACCTTGTTGATAATGACTGGTTATGGATTCCTTTTCGAGAGAAACGTATTCGTGATGAAACTTGCATCTAGTTGTCTTAGCCTTTCTTTGCTGTTAATGTGAGATATGTAAATGTTGCCCGTCCGGCAGTTGCTTTACAAAAGGCAGTGAGAGATTTGCCTACCATTGTTCGATAGATAGCAAAGTGAAAACGAACAGTGATTGAAACCTGACATGTAGTTTGTTTGTCTTTGCAGTACCTTCCTCATGTGATGCCTCAAGCCTTTGCGTCCTGCTACTTGGACGACGGGTCTCTTGTCGATGTTGAAGGCAGTGATAATGAGGAGGAAGGCGATATGGACAATGGAGCCGTTGATCTTGTCTCATCTGATGAGGATCATGAGGGTGATGACACGAAGGTGCGGAACCTTAGCATCCGAACAGGAGTACTGGATGAGAAGGCAGCAGCAACCCAAGCGTTGGGTTTGTTTGCGCTTCATACGAAGGAAGCGTTTCGACCGTATCCTCTTTTACGATGGCGAGATTACTTGCAGCTCCCTGTCGACCTGTTTTGCACACCCACCTGCCTCAGATGGTCTAGCAGTAATCTCCGACCGAGGAACTCATTCTACTATGGCCTGATTCCCTGGCAATCCTTTTCACACTTCCACACACGAACCATATTACAGCATGAAGGCGGTGTGGAACCGAACTTTGCTCCTATGGAACCGAACTTTATCATCACCCCTACATTGACTTCTACGTGCAAGTACCCCTCTCGGCTCCGGATGTGCTACGACTTGGCAGCTAGCTGGCCTACCTTTTATTCCTTGCATTGCCAAGATTCAAGATACGCATTTTCTTCTTTCTTCTGTTCGTCTCTCTTGAAATGCAGCATTTTATGCGGCACATGTTTGGCCGGTGGTGCAATACCAATCGGAGGCGGCAAACCCTAAACCCTAAACCCTTGAAAGTGAGTGCAATAGTTGATGCTGAGGGGCCAGTTACCAAGGGTGATTCTCAAAAGGATAACACGTCGTGAACTGCGCAATCTACCCGTTGTTCTGTACTTGCAAGGGCATACTCACTTTGGGACTTTTTTCACCGGTCTTCTTGGCGTAATAATCCGCCTGTAATTGTAATCCGATACGTCCAGGTCCGACCAGCACTACGGTCAAATTTACCTGGTAGGATTCTTGGAAATTCCTATTGCGAGTATAAGGTCGGGTTCTCGTAGTGTTTGTCCGTTTGTCTCAGCATGGAATGAATATCACTTATTAAGTTGCTTACTCACTGCTTTTTGTTCGCCAATGGAATCGCCAGTAGCGGCCCTTACTGAAGGCGGGTATGCCTATCGAACATCGCCCTTGCTCTTCCTGTTAATGAGTTTGTGATGGGCAATTTGTTGCTGAAATGAGCCTTGCTGAATGACTCGTACATTGTTTGAATCGACTTTCGAGCCAGGTTGTACTGCTGTAATTTGGCTATAAAAGCACCAAGCATGCCCCAAAAAAATGCCAATTTGTGTCTTCCCCCCTGGCCTTTTTGTTCGGTATCCTGATGGGGACCTTACAAATACATATATATCTTTTTACCTTGACCAATTCGGTAGATATTTGGAAGAGACTTTGGCAGTCCTGAAGAAGAATTCTGGTTACTTCCATGAAGATGTCAGAGTACAAGCGATTATTGCACTCCAACGTAAGTGCATCCAAATCACTCGCGTCTTACTTCCAAAATCTTTTTCACTATATTGTGGATGGACTACTCTCTTATAGATGTGGCGTGGTGTCCTATGGTTTCGTCATAGGTCCCGGCCTAAGCTCCTTCCTCTCCGTGGCGGTGATTCACGTGCAGGTTTTTCCTTCTTTTCCTGAAAGTTGAGAAATGGCTTGCCATTAATATTGTAGAGCTTCTAATAAAAAAATAAAAATAAAAAAAGAATTGCAGAGCTTCTAGAATGTCTTGTTGCATATTGGACTTAGCTATTGCAGAGGGCCTTTGGGAATGGCTGAAAAATCTGTTGACGAGTACTCGCTACTAAGAATCAGCTCTAAACGTCGGATGGTCATAGGAACGTGACTTGTTGCTTGGCCGCAAGTTGCAGTGCAGCAAGGCGAACACATCCTCCACTGCTGACATGTATGATTCTCGCTTCTCATGCATACAATAATTACAATTGTGAACAACATGGCGGGAATTTGCAACACGGGTTCTCTTTTGATCTGTTTCAACTGTTTGTAGTAGTATTATAAACCCTGCGCTTGACACTTCTGCTTCTGGCCGGGCTTCGCTTTCCAGATTTGCTAACTGCAACTCAGGCAGCGTTCCCAACTGGCAGTGTCGTCGCAGATGGTGTTACCCTGGTGAGCTTACTGCAAGACATCCCCCCCTCCCCCCTCTCCGCCCCCTCTTCTCTCTCTCTCTCTCTCTCTCTCTCTCTCTCTCTCTCTCTCTCTCTCTCTCTCTCT